TTCGATATTTCAATTTTTGAATTTTTCAATACTTTGATTTTTCGAATTTTAGACTTTTCGGTTTGCAGATTTTTTAATTTTTCAATTTTTCAATTTTTAAATTTAACATCTTTCGAGTTTACGATTTCTTGATGTTTCGATTTCTCAATTTTTCAATTTTTCTATCCTTCAATTTATCTTCGATTTTTCAACTTTTCGATATTTCAGTTTTGGGATTTTTCAATTTTTCGATTTTTCGACTTCTTGATTTTTCGCTCTCTAGATTTTTTTACTTTTTCGATTTTTTCATTTTTGGATTTTTAAACTTAAGATCTTTCAATCTTTCAATTTTTCGGTTTCTTGATGTTTCAATTTCTCGATTTTTTTACTTTTTTGCTTTTTCATTTTTGGATTTTTAAACTCTTTCAAACTTTCAGTTTTTCGATTCTCCAATTGTTCGATAATTGATTTTAATTTTTAATTATTAAAATTTTTGATTTTTCGATATCTAGATTTTTCAGTTCTTCGATGTTTATACATATTTTTCAATTTTCGAATTTTTAAATTTTAGATTTCTCAGATTTTTAATATTCAGATTTCTCGATTTTTCGATTTCTCGGTTTCGATTTTTCAGGTTTTTCAACTTCCAATTTTTAAAGTTTTTGATTTTTCGTTTTTACAATTTTCGGATTTTAAGTTTTCCTATTTTTCGATTTTTTTAATTTTTCAATGTTTCTGTTTTTCAATCGTCTTTCGATTTCTCAATTTTTCGTTATTTTAGTTCAAGAATTTTCTTAAATTTGATTCGTCAATTTTTCGATTTCTCGATTTTTGCTTTTTGATATATCCATTTTTAGATTTTTGAATTTTAGATTTTTCAATTTTCTGATGCATGAATTTTTTGATTTTTAAATTTTTCGATTATTCAGTTATTTGATATTTTAAATTTTTAATTTTTAAAAATCTAGCGCTAAAGATTTGCTGATTTTAGATTTTACATTTTTTTGATGTTTTAGTTTTGGGATTTTTCAGTTTTTCGATTCTTAAGTTTTTCTTCAACTTTTCAACTTTTCCAAGTTTCCATTTTGGAATTTTTCAATATTTTGATTCTTCACATTTTAAATTTTTCAATTTTTCAATTATTCAGTTATCTGATATTTTAAATTTTCAATTTTTAAATTTCTTTTTCAGTTTTGGGATTTTTCAATTTTTCGATTCTTAAGTTTTTCTTCAATTTTTCAACTTTTCGATATTTCAATTTTTGATTTTTTCAATATTTTGATTCTTCGAATTTAGACTTTTCGGTTTCCCGATTTTTTAATTTTTCAATTTTTCAATTTTTAAATTTAACATTTTTCGAGTTCACGATTTCTTGATGTTTCGATTTCTCGATTTTTCAATTTTTCTATCCTTCAATTTATCTTCGATTTTTCAACTTTTCGTTATTTTAGTTTTGGGATTTTCCAATATTTTGATTCGTCAATTTTTCGATTTCTCGATTTTTGCTTTTTGATATACCTACCCATTTTTAGAATTTTATATCGGATTGTTGTCACCAAGTCGGGGTATTTTTAGGGACGAAATGCAGCCGGGACGCGAGGGAATTCGTTATGCGGGAGACATCCGGGTTATTTCTTGTTTATTACGTGTAATTTCATGAGACGGCTGAATTTAATAATAAGAAAAGGAGATGGGAGTAAAAATAAATTAATAAAAGGGAACGAAGGGTGAATTATTAGCTCTTTATTAAAGAGACGCGCATTTGTAATGAATTTATTCCCGGGACGGGGTGGGGTTGACGGGATCTGAAAGCATTTCTGTTTGTCGAAATGATGAGAATACGCTGAGTCAGCAGAATTACCCCTATTAAAAGTGTGATTTTAACTCTTTCAAACCGCATACAAACGCCTTCCAATTTTCTTCGTCATTTAGCAAGTTAAACCTTCGGACGAACTCACTCTCATCAAACTTTTGTCTCCTTCATTTACATCGAGCTTAAATTGAATTATTCCCCGTCAACTCTTGCACTTGCCATTTTTCCCACTAATTCCCGAACTTTAAAGCCAATCTCTGAACACCAAAAATTACCGACTTTTTCTTCAAACAGCACTTCCCGGTAATTGGATAATGCAACTTCGCGTCTCCCCGCACTTAAATTCCGCCCCATAACACCGTAGTTCAACTTTGGAGCGCAATCATCGTTAGTGTGCGTTAGCTATTAGTTTTGAAATCCAAGCCGCACCGATTCCCTAATTACGCCGGAATAATTTCGAAAACGAGCCAAGTTTTTGTCCTGGAGCGCTTTCGCAGGAGACAAATCGAATAACAACCTCGCTTCAGAAAAGAACGATTCTTTTATAAAATCACGCGAACAAAAGAACCAACATAAATTTCCAAGTTCCGGGCCACTAAAATTTTCTTTGGCGAAGAGACGCCGACAATGCTGGCGGAATTGAACGTCTGGAAGAAATTTAAATTTTTTAGATTGTTCGACTTTCTGTTTTTTTGATTTCTTACTTACTCGATTTTTCAAAATTTTGCGAGTTCTGCGGGGCCCCTTGAGTTTTGTTTTTGAAGTGGTTTAGAAGTATCTCAAGGACCCCTTTTGTTTTGAATTTGAAGTAGTTTGAAAGAATCTCAGGGGTCCCTTGTCTTGTTTTTGAAGTAATTTGAAATAATATAGGGAACCTCTTGTGTTTTTGAAGTCGCTTGAAAGAATCTTTGTGGTCCCTTGGATTTTGTTTTTGAAGTTGTTTAGAAGAATCTTAACGACCTCTTTTGTTTGGAATTTGAAGTAGTTTGAAAGAATCTCGGGGGCTCTTTGTGTTTTGTTTTTGAAGTGGTTTAGAAGTATTTCAAGGACTCTTTTTGTTTTAAATTTGAAGTAGTTTGAAAGAATCTTAGAGACCTCTTGCGTTATGTTTTTGAAGTGGTTTGAAAGAATCTCAGGGGTCCCTTGTCTTGTTTTTGAAGTAATTTGGAAGAATATAGGGAACCACTTGTGTTTTTGAAGTTGCTTGAAAGAATCTTTGTGGTCCCTTGGATTTTGTTTTTGAAGTTGTTTAGAAGAATCTTAACGACCTCTTTTGTTTGGAATTTGAAGTAGTTTGAAAGAATCTCAGGGGCTCTTTGTGTTTTGTTTTTGAAGTGGTTTAGAAGTATCTCAAGGACTCCTTTTGTTTTAAATTTGAAGTAGTTTGAAAGAATCTTAGAGACCTCTAGCGTTATGTTTTTGAAGTGGTTTGAAAGAATCTCAGGGGTCCCTTATCTTGTTTTTGAAGTAATTTGAAATAATATAGGGAACCTCTTGTGTTTTTGAAGTGGCTTGAAAGAATCTTGGTGGTCCCTTGGGTTTTGTTTTTGAAGTGGCTTGAAAGAATCTTGGTGGTTCCTTGGGCTTTGTTTTTGAAGTGGTTTAGAAGAATCTCAAGGACCTCTTTTGTTTGGAATTTGAAGTAGTTTGAAAGAATTTCGGGGGCTGCTTGTGTTTTGTTTTTCAAGTGGTTTAGAAGTATCTCAAGGACCCCTTTTGTTTTAAATTTGAAGTAGTTTGAAAGAATCTTAGAGACCTCTTGCGTTATGTTTTTGAAGTAATTTGAAAAAATATAGGGAACCTCTTGTGTTTTTGAAGTGGCTTGAAAGAATCTTTGTGGTCCCTTGGATTTTGTTTTTGAAGTTGTTTAGAAGAATCTTAACGACCTCTTTTGTTTGGAATTTGAAGTAGTTTGAAAGAATCTCGGGGGCTCTTTGTGTTTTGTTTTTGAAGTGGTTTAGAAGTATCTCAAGGACCCCTTTTGTTTTAAATTTGAAGTAGTTTGAAAGAATCTTAGAGACCTCTTGCGTTATGTTTTTGAAGTGGTTTGAAAGAATCTCAGGGGTCCCTTGTCTTGTTTTTGAAGTAATTTGAAAGAATATAGGGAACCTCTTGTGTTTTTGAAGTGGCTTGAAAGAATCTTTGTGGTCCCTTGGGTTTTGTTTTTGAAGTGATTTAGAAGAATCTCAAGGAACTCTTTTGTTTGGAATTTGAAGTAATTTGAAAGAATCTCGGGGGCTGCTTGTGTTTTGTTTTTGAAGTGGTTCAGAAGTATCTCAAGGACCCCTTTTGTTTTAAATTTGAAGTAGTTTGAAAGAATCTTAGAGACCTCTTGCGTTATGTTTTTGAAGTGGTTTGAAAGAATCTCAGGGGTCCCTTTTCTTGTTTTTGAAGTAATTTGGAAGAATATAGAGAACCTCTTGTGTTTTTGAAGTGGCATGAAAGAATCTTTGTGGTCCCTTGGATTTTGTTTTTGAAGTTGTTTAGAAGAATCTCAAGGACCTCTTTTCTTTGGAATTTGAAGTAATTTGAAAGAATCTCGGGGGGTCCTTGTGTTTTGTTTTTCAAGTGGTTTAGAAGTATCTCAAGGACCCCTTTTGTTTTAAATTTGAAGTAGTTTGAAAGAATCTTAGAGACCTCTTGCGTTATGTTTTTGAAGTGGTTTGAAAGAATCTCAGGGGTCCCTTGTCTTGTTTTTGAAGTAATTTGAAAGAATATAGGGAACCGCTTGTGTTTTTGAAGTGGCTTGAAAGAATCTTTGTGGTCCCTTGGATTTTGTTTTTGAAGTTGTTTAGAAGAATCTCAAGGACCTTTTTGTTTGGAATTTAACTTCGCGTCTCCCCGTACTTAAATTCCGCCCCATAACACCGTAGTTCAACTTTGGAGCGCAATCATCGTTAGTGTGCGTTAGCTATTAGTTTTGAAATCCAAGCCGCACCGATTCCCTAATTACGCCGGAATAATTTCGAAAACGAGCCAAGTTTTTGTCCTGGAGCGCTTTCGCACGAGACAAATCGAATAACCTCGCTTCAGAAAAGAACGATTCTTTTATAAAATCACGCGAACAAAAGAACCAACATAAATTTCCAAGTTCCGGGCCACTAAAATTTTCTTTGGCGACAATGCTGGCGGAATTGAACGTCTGGAGGAAATTTAAACCGCTTTTAACACCTTCCGGGATGCGGGATTAATTTTTAATCGGGAAGCATCTGGTTCACGCTTTATTTTCTAGAACGATACAAATTATGTCGAACACTTGAGGTAGAAGTTACAACAATACAAATTATCTAGAGATTCCAAACCGCTTCGAAGAACTTTTCTAGTAGGCTGGACGCGTCCTGTAGGAACTCTTCACCTTCAGTCGGGACGCGTCGCGACGGCATTGCCACCACCGTGACGCAAAAGTCTTGTAGCACCGGTGGTACCGAACGCTTCCATTTCCAATACACCGAGGTGGTGTTGGTGGTGTTGCCACTTTCAGGATTATCAACGTACTTCATTCCACCCTGGCTACTATTTGAAGTACAAGTGACATTCGATACAATAAAAGTCTTATTTAGACACTCCGGACTTAAATTGTTCACACACGAAATCGTGTTATTTTGACACGCGAAAGTTTCGTTGTTGGTACTTGTATTTGCTAGTTGAGTACCGTTGATACTAATGACCGAACATGGCACACCCACTGTTGTATTGGTCTTAGTTGCACACTCAGACGTTGTGTTGTTAACACACGACCCGACAGTCGAACAATTAAGCGTTTGATTAGTACCAGGAGCAATCGAGAAAGTAGTACCAAGTTGGTCACACGAGACATTCAACATCACGTGTGTCTTATTCACGCACTGCGGCAGCGGAATTTGGGTGCACGGAATGAATCTCGTGCAGTTGGTACTACCAATATTTTCGGGAGTACCCACCACTATTGTGTTATTAACGTACTTAACCGGCCCCTCCACGTTCGCCGTCGACACACAAGGAATATTCACCGTGACGTTACCCTGGTTCTTCCCTCCACACTCCGGTGCCGTGTTATTAACGCAAGAAATGGTACTCCTAGTACAATTCACCGTCTTACCATTTTCCACACACGTCACTAACTTACTGACGGCGACCACACACATCAAAGTACCATCCGTCGTGCAAAGCGACATGGTACTGGCGGGACATACGCTGGTACTATCACCTACGCAACCCCTAATAGCGTCAGGAGCGACCCTTTGCTGCTTTGGTACCGAATCGGCGTTGTGGTAATAGTGATGGACTGTGTAGTGGTCGTACCGTGGACGGTACCCATCATAGAACGAAGCATGCGAGAACGTAGGTGTCGTCAGTTTGGCTAATTTGTAGCCTAGGTAGAAACCTAAAATCCCGCTTCCGGTGTCCGAAGAGGTGTAATGGTACGACGAGTACGTTTGGTAGTAGCCAGGGTGTGCGTGATTTTGTACCGGAATGGTGTAAAACCCGGGGTAGTGGTAGTTGTATGTATTTTTTACCACGTAGGTAGTTTTGGTGGATTTGCCTAGAACATGATGGTGTTTTTAGAGTTTAAATGGGTTAATACCAACCTGAGCCTGGTACGGGTGGCATGGAGTCCACTGTCCACTCTTTCTTTGTGATTGTGTTGGGTCTGCGTGTGGTGAGTCTGGGGGGTTGGGTGTATTTAGGTTTAGGAGTGGTTCTAGTTGTGGTTCTACGTGTAGTAGGTCTAGGTGTGGCTTTGCGTGTAGTAGGTCTAGGTGTAGTCCTGTACGTAACAGGTGCGCGAGTACTATGCACAGTCCTATGCGTAGGTGTAGTTCTACGCGTAGTTGGTCTAGGTGTAGTCCTGTACGAAATAGGTGCGTGAGTACTAGGTCTAGGTGTAGTCCTATGCGTACTAGGTCTAGGTGTAGTCCTATGCGTACTAGGTCTAGGTGTAGTCCTACGAGTAGTACTTCTACGCGTGGTAGGTCTCTGCGTTGTCCTTCGTGTCGTAGGCCTGGCATGTCTAGCCGTAGTCCGATACGCTAACGCCGGAAACGGTACCACTTCCGGTCTCTCGGTACCCACAGTGTATTGAATTTCGGAAACATCTTGAGCTGCAACAATGGATAAAATATTGCAACAACACTAATCAAAAGTTCGTTTTACGCGTGACTCCTTCAACGTTTTCACTACAACCTTCCGACAATTTTCACCGCACTTAAAACTAAACGACGTCGCATTCAAAGATGCGGTTATTGAAATTTTCCAACTTTCACTCGAGGCAATGTTTTGCTTAATTATGTGAAGGCGGAAATTAGGCAGTAGCGTTGAAACGGTGCTTATTATATTCAGGGAACTGCGTATAATTGCAACCCTTGTTATGCGGACGACGTGGAAAGTGGAGGCTGGCAAATTTGCATATGAAAGTTCATTTCCTCTTGAGTTTAACTAAACAAAAAAAAGGAAACTGGATACACATGATGTGATCGAATTTCCCCAGCGGAAAAACTCGAATTGTGAGTAACAGTGCATTTATTAATAACAACACAAATAATATTTATAAATCAAAAACAGATTCTAGAAAATTCTGAACAATGTATTGAGCATCTTTCAACACGACTTCTCCTTCGGTTTCCTTTTTCGTAGCCGGGAGGGCTACAATGGTGACGCAGAAATTCTGGGCGACGTCTCTCCTTTTTCGTGCTTGCACGACCGGAATCGGGGTTGTAGTTATAGGATACTGGGTCGGTGGAGGCGACGACGGAGTCGTCGTTATTGGATACTGGGTACTCGTAGTAGTACTCGTCGTACTATTCTCGGTAGCGTTAGCCACCACTATCGTGTTATTAACATACTTCAAATCCCCATGTACTTCAGCGTTCGAAATACACGGTATGCTGATCGTGGTACTACTTTGCGAATTTTTACACTCAGGTGCCGTGTTATTAACACAGGCAATGGTACTCGTCACGCAATTAACTTGACGGTTATCTGTACATGGTACCGTGGTCGTGGCACTCACCACACACATCAAAGCCCCGCTGGAAGTACACAATGATGTGGTATTCGCCGGACAAATCGTCACACTATCACCAACACATCCCACGATAGCATTGGACTGTATCTCCTGCTTCGCCGGTACCGAGTCTTTGTTATGATAATAATGGTGTACTTCGTAGTGGTCGTACCGTGGCCGGTACCCATCATAGAACGAATAATGGGAATACGTCGGCGTTGTTATTTTCGCTAAAGAGTAGCCGAGGAAGAAACCCAGAGCGGTACTACCGGTATCACTACTACCGTAGTGGTACGACGAAGGGGTGTAGAAATAGCCAGGATGAGCGTGATTTTGAACCGGCAGCGAGTAGTACCCGGGATAATTGTAGTTGTATTTGTTCACTATTTTGATCTTTTGGGGTGCTTGTCCGTGATCTGCAAACAAATTGATAATAGAGGGTTTTGAGTGGTGGTGGTGGTACGAACCCGTTGTGTAGGTACCAGGTCGAGGCGGTACGTTCCATCCAGCGTTGTTATTATTATTACCGGAATTTACTGTGTCGTAGCGTCTGGTTGACACGTACTGATTCCGTGGGGTGGTTGCAGACTGGTACGGTCGCCTGGTCGTACTACCCTGGTAAGAATCTTGAGTTCTGTACGTACTACTGTACGTCCTGTAGGTACTACTGTAGGGTCGTGACGTGGTGTAAGGCCGGCGGGTGGTATGACGCGGAGGGCTACCACCCCCTCTCCTAGCTACAAAATTAACCACTGAATTTCCAAACTACTCAGACTCACGCTTCGGCGATGGGTTACAATGTGCTTAGTGAGCGAAACTTACCTTCTTTATTGTGCAAATGTGCCAATTATCACATACACTTAACTAAATTTGGGTTAACTTATAGGTTAGTGACAATAAAAAAAAATCAAGGTACTTACAGCCGCCACTATAACGTCCACATTGATAAATATCCACTAAAGTTATCAAGATGCACAAAACGAGGTACTTTGTAACGGTAGTCATGGGTCTGTGACGCAATTTGTTTAATTATGGTAATGTGGGTCGATATTGTTTTGGTACTAAAATGAAGGATTCTCTTTGTGAGAGGTCACCACATGACGGTGTTGTGCGCACTGGAGTTTAACCGGTTCTGGCGAGCAGGTGTACTGGTAAATTCGATGACTCAGACGGTGGTTTTTGTGACGTAAATTATCCATTAGAGTAATATTTTCTAAAACTGTGTAATTTTGAATATGAAAGTATTAGAATTAATTAAACATGTTTTGGAGCGTGAAGAGTACCATTATATCATAAACGAGGTTATTACTTATCTCTGACGAGGACATGGAATAACAATTCTAACAAATTTTGTTCAAACTTTTATTTATCAATATATACAAAGTAGTACCAGTACTAATTATTTCAATCTTACGAGCAAACTAGCAAACACCCTTGAAACAAATTTCTTCGTAATTTATTCCAAGAGTCAGAAGGTTATCACTGCCTTTAAGGTTACAAAACTGATAACAAATAAAAAATCGTATCACAAATCCCATACACTTTCCAAAAACTGCTCCGCTATAAATTTAGCATCGCCTAAAAATTCCTCTCCTTCTGTCTTTTCTCTCTTCGCCGGTAACGCAAGTACTGTTACACAGTAATTTTGAGCGACTTCTCGTTTTTTGCGCTGCGTTTGTGGTACCGGCGTCGTTGTAACAACAGGAGCTTGAGTATATTGCGTAATCAACGTGAAGTTATCATTGACTGTACTATTGGTACTGTTTACGGCTGTGGTGTTCGTACCATTCACGGTACTAGTCGGTAAAAGAGTAGCATTTGCTGGAATAATCGTGTTATTGACGGTTTTCAAATCCCCGTAAACATCAGCCTTCGAAACGCACGGTATGCTTATAGTGGTGGTACCCTGATTGGCGTTCTTGCACTCCGGTGCCGTGTTATTAACACAACTGATGGTACTTGTAACACAGTTGACTTGACGATTATCGGAACATGGTACTGTCGAAACGGCGCTGGCGACACACATCAGAGCGCCGTCGGAAGTGCAAAGGGATGTGGTGTTGCCTGGACATATAGTACTAGCGTCGCCTACGCAACCCACGATGGTGTTAGCCCGAATTTCTTGTTGCTGTGGTACCGACTCTCTGTTGTGGTAGTAGTGGTGGACTGTGTAATGGTCGTACCGCGGCCTGTATCCATCGTAGAACGAATAGTGCGAATACGTCGGCGTCGTCAGTCTGCCTAGTCCGTAGCCTAGGAAAAAACCTAACGCGGTACTACCCGTGTCGCCGCTACTGTAGTGATAGTAGCTGGGGGTGTAGAAGTACCCGGGGTAGTGGTGCGCCACCGGGATTGAGTAGTACCCGGGATAATGGTAGTTGTATTTGTTCACTACTTTGTATTTGTATGTCTGTTGCGAGCCTAAAATAACAAATTACAAATAATAATTATGATAGTAAAGTGTACTGACCCGAATAGGTGTTATAGCCAGTTCGTGGTGGTCCAATGGGCCCGCTGCCCGGTCTCGGTGGTAGATTATTAAATCCAACGGGTCTAGCCGTGGTGAAATGGCGTCTTGGGGTGGTACCGACATGCACAGGGCGTCTGGTAGTACCCGAATGATAGCCGCCGGGTCTTGAAGTGGGTCCTGCGGGTTGGAAATGTGTCCGTGAAGTGGAAGCTGGGCGATAGTACGGTCTGGAAGTTGTCACCCCTGCGGGTCGGTGTGACTGGACGGGTCGCGATGTGGCGACTCGTGCGGGTGCTTCATATGCTGGAGGACTCGGACGCGCGGTTTGATGACGAGGGGGTGGACTGGGGCGCGCACGGTTATATGACGAAAAACCGGGGGAAGAGTACGACGGGGGATGATACGAAGGAGCCGGAGCATGGTACGACGGTCGGTGATAGGATGGCGAGGAAACGCGAGTACTACTCCTGCCAAACCCACCGCTTCTACCTAAAAATAAAAATTACAACTAAGACAGAGACAAGTAATTCGGACCAAAGTTGAGCATTCTGCGTTTGAGTAATCAAGCCATAACACTTACCTTTGGTAGTGTTAAAGAGAAATGCTCAAGATGGTTAGATTGAGAAATAAAGTCACTCACAGAAACTGAAGAGCAAGTTCGCACTACTTTTTTAAACGATTTGGAAAGTACTCACCTCCGCCGAAGCGCCCACATTCGTGAAATCCCACGAAGGTCAGAACCACCAGAAAGGCGAGACTTGTCCTCGCACAACCCATCTCACACTGAATTATGTCAATTTACGCAGTGATTATAAACGAACTACAACTACACTGAATAATACGGAGAACTGAAACTCAACCACACTGGGAAAAGGTCAAATCAAGACAACGCGAAGACGATAAGATTTCGAGAAGTTGAGGCTAGTCGTGTATGGGAATATTAGTGAATCACGACGTATAATCAGAAGTGTTTACGAATGATAATTGTGTAGCAATTATTCCTTTGGTTTGGATAAGACTCCCAATAGCCGTATCAGTACCCCAGTACTGATTTCTAATGAAACAAAAATATTTTTAGAGATTTATTAAATAAACATCGATACAATTTAATCAGTCTGTTTGGGCTTCGGGTCAACGATAACAGCGACGCAAAAAGTCCTCTCCGTCTCCTTCAAAGCATCCATTATAACGAAGGTACCACTTACTTGCCCCAAAGTTTTTCCCTTATTGTCTTCGTAAACGTCTACAATTACCACGGTACTCAAACACGGGATAAAAATCTCCTCGAAGTTGTACGAAACCTCGACACACGCTCGCACGCACGGTACCACCGTAGCAACACAAGCAGTTGTTTCGTTCTGAGGGCACGGTACCACCGCACTGATCGTCGACATGCAAAAAATCGTACCATTCATCAAACAAACGGTTTCTGTGTTCTCGGGACAGAGGAAAGTCGCATTGGGGTGACAACCTACCACGAAGTCCGACGGAATGGTTTCGTTTTCAACAATAGTCCTGTTGATGTCGTGGTAATAGTGATGAAAATCGTCGTACTGAAAATCCTGATCCGTCATTTTACTGAGCCCGAAACCCAAGTAGTAATCGAGAGTCTCGTCGCTGCCGTCATCGCGAAAATAATCGCGGCGTTTGTAGTAGTCCTTCTGCGGGGGTTGGTACACTCCGTGGACGTAGTGGTTGTTCTGGGGGTTTCTGGCGTTGGAGTTGTAGTAGGAACCGCCGTAAAGCCCTCTGGTGCCTAGGGGTTCGATCACGACGATTTCGGTGGTGGTTTCGCTGATGGTACTAGCTTCAGTACTCGAGGAAGTACTTGTGATTTCTGTGATATTGTCACTATAACCCCGCACCACTAACCCAAATAACACGAGACTTAAGTACGTGGCGTCCATGCTGACTCTGGCGCGGGTCCATCCATGTATGGAGAGTACTCCTTTGTGCAGGCTTGTATTAAAAATTTTCTATAGGGTCCAACAATGGATTTTTCGTCGCTCCATTAAATGGGTTCGGTGTTCGGCGATTTGTGTCCGCGTCAACAGAATTGTTTTGTTCCGTTTATGTCGGCCGTAATAATAAGAGTTAAGTGGAATGTGGGTTTCTCTGAAATTGTTTAATTACAGTCATGTTTATAGTGCGAAGTTCACGCGATAACGGGCGGATTTTTATGACAAGGAACGCTTATTTACGGATTTTTCTAGCTTCGACACGGGATATTCGGGGAAATGGGCAATTTTCCGAAGACAAGTCGGACAATTGGAGTCAATTTCGGCGTTATGCAACTGGTATTGCGGGAGTGTAAGGAGTTGGGTGGATTTGCGGCGAATATGATTAAAAGTAGCGACAATTGCGGTAATTTTGAATGGCGGCGCTTTTTCGAACAAGGGAGTCAATTTCCTCGGCAGATTTTAATACGGATTCGGATCTTACATAAAACGTTACGCGAGTAACATAAAATAACAGTATTTTGTAAAAACGTCGTAAAAGATGACGACAAGAGGGATATCATCGGGGTCTCGAGGGATGAATCGATTTCTTCGTAGTTTCGTAAGCAACGATTATTTGCATAATCGATATGGCATTAGCCTGATTTTTGAAAGCGGACTCTTGCAGTAAAATTATAATTACTCCGAGAGTCTTTGTTGTTTCGACGGAACTTTCCTCGCTTCTGAAGTACAATGAAACATATCCAGCAATTTAGAAAAATTATAAAATTTGATTTTGCGGATTTTATATTTTTTCTGAGAATCGTATAAGTAAATATAAAGAAGCATGCTACGCGTATGTTTCAAATAAGCAAAATAAGAATGAGAGAATGGAGGTGGCTGCCTGGTTGCAAGTCATAAATTAGTGGAAAGCCCGGAAGTGGTCAGTTTTGCTTTTTGCTCAATCTCGAGATCATATGTGTCAACACACGGTCAGTTTCGATTTTTCGATTTTTTGCTTTTTGGTTTTTTCAATGTTTCCAATTTTTTAATTATTCAACTTCTGTTTTAGATTTCTTGGTTTTTAATTTTTCGGTTTCTCCGCTAACTGATTTCTCGATTTTTCCATTTTTCAGTTTTGCACTTCTTCAATTTTTGGATTGTTCGGTTTTTTGATTTTTCAATTATTCGATTTTTTATAATTTTGGTTTTTCGACTTTTCGATTTCATAATTTTGCTCCTATTTTACAACTTTTCGATATTTCAGTTTTAGAATTTTTCAATAAGTCGATTTTTACACTTCTTCGATTTTTGAATCTTTCAATTTTTGGATTTTTAATGTTTCAATTTTTCGATCCTTAAGTTATCGATATTTTCAGTTTTTAAAATTTTGGATTTTTCGTTTTCTGGATTTTCAGTTCTTAGATGTCTCCACTTTTCGTTTTTTCAATTTTTTTTTTATTTTAGATTTCAGTTTTTGATTTTGGGTTTTTCGATTTTTCGGTTATAGATTTTCAACTTTTCAACTTTTCGATTTGTTGATCTTTCAATTTCGATTTTTCAGTTTGACATTTCTATTTTTCAATTTTTCGAATTTTTTTATTTTAGGTTTTCCAGTTTTTTGATGTTTCGATTTCTCGATTTCTCGATTTTTCCATCTTTCCAGTTTTAGACTTCTTCAATTTTTCGATTGTTCAGGTTTTTTTTGATTTTTCAATTATTCGATTTTTTATAATTTTGATTTTTCCACTTTTCGATTTCTCGATTTCACAATTTTTCGAATCTTCAATTTTTCTTCCATTTTACAACTCTTCGACGTTTTAGTTTTGGAATTTTTCAATATTTCGATTTTTCCATTTTTCGATCTTTAAATTTTAGATTTTCAATATTTCAATTTTTGTCTTTTTAATGTTTCAATTTTTCGATTCTTCAGTTATTCGATATATTCACCTTTTCAAAATTTTAGATTTTTCGATTTCAGGATTTTTCAGTTCTTCGATCGATATGTGTATTTTTAATTTTTTCAAATTTTTTAATTTTAGATTTCAGTATTTTGATTTTTGGGTTTTTCGGTTTCTCAGTTATAGATTTTTTTTTTCAATTTTCTGGTTCATCCAATTTTCTTCGGTTTTTCAATTTTTAGACTTTTCGATTTTTTGCTTTTTCTTTTTTTGAATTTTTCGATTTGTTTGATATTTCAATTTCGATTTTCCACTTTGACATTTCTATTTCTCAACTTCTCTGTTTTAAATTTTTTGGTTTTTCAATTTTACGATTTCTCGGCTTCTTGATTTCTAGATGTTTCCATTTTTCAGTTTTGCACTTCTTCAATTTTTCGATTGTTCAGTTTTTTGAATTTTCAATTATTCCATTTATGTCGATTTTTCGACTTTTCGATTTCTCGATTTCACAATTTTTCGGTTCTTCAATTTTTTTTTTTATTTTTCAACTTTTCAGTTTTTGGAATTTTGTAGTAATTCGATTCTTCAATTTTTCGATTTTTCAATTTCTCTCGTTTAAATTTTTCGATTTCTTCACTTTTTCGATTATTCAATCTTTCAATCTTTGGATTTTTAATGAATGTTTCAATTTTTCCAATTTTCAATTTTTCGATTTTTCAGTTATTCGATATTTTCAATTTTTAAAATTTTTGATTTTTCGATTTCTCGATTTTCAGTTCTTCGATACTTTTTTTTTTCATTTTCTCAAATTTTTAGGTTTTTCGTTCGATTTCTCGATTAGTTTTTCAATTTTCTGATTCTTCAAATTTTCTTCGGTTTTTCAGTTTTTGGGATTTTTCGATTTTTTGCTTTTATAAATCTTAGAATTTTCAACCTTTCAACTTTTTGATATTTCAATTTCTCTGTATTTAATTTTTTGATACTATTTTTTGGGGTTGTTTATCAAGAAAATTGATTACGTCATCTCAAAATTTTGGCGATTAAATTCTATCGAAAATGTGCCAAGTATAATCAATCTGTACCAGTAATTTCAGTTTTTTGAATTTTGGGTTTTTCGATTTCTCGGTTACAGATTTTTTTTCAATTTTCTGATTCTTCAAATTTTCTTCGTTTGTTTCTAATTTTTGGTATGCCAGTTTTTGGGATTTTTCAATTTTTCGACATTTCGATTTTTCGACTTTTGGAATTTTTGCTCCTTCGTTTTTTCAATTTTTCGATTTTCAAATTTTAGGATTTCAAATTTTTCAACTTTTCGATTTGTTGGAATTTCTATTTCAATTTTTCAGATTGACATATCTATTTCCGAATGTTTAAATTTTTTAGGTTTTTCAATTTTTTTGATCTTTCGATTTTTCAACTCCTCTGATTTAGATTTTTCGGTTTTGCAATGTTTCGATTTCTCTATTTATCCATTTTTCTAGTTTCATACTTCTTAAATTTTTTGTTTGTTCAGGTTTTTGATTTTTCAATTATTCGATTTATCATAATTTTGATTTTTCGATTTTTCGATTTCTTGATTTTTACAAATTTCAGATTCTTCATTTTTTCTTCTATTTTACAACTTTTCGATATTTCAGTTTTGTAATTTTTCTATATTTCGATTCTTCAATTTTTTGATTTTTCGATGTTTTCACTGTTTCAATTTCTGGATTTTTAATGTTTGAATTTTTCCATTGTTCAATTTTTCGATTATTGAGTTATTCGATATTTTCAGTTTATAAAATTTTTGATTTTTCGATTTTCAGTTCTTCGATATCCTTATTTTTCATTTTTTCAAATTCAAAAATTTTAAATCTCAGTTTTTTGATTTTTCGATTTCTCGGTTATAGATTTTTTTTCAATTTTCTGATTTTTCAAATTTTCTTTGGTTTTTCAATTTTTGGACATTTCGATTTTTCCAGTTTTCCATTTTTTGCTTTTTCGTTTTTTCAAATTTTAGGATTTTAAACTTTTCAATTTTTTGATTTGTTGATATTTCAATTTCGATTTTTCAGTTTGACATATCTATTTTCCAATTTTTCGATTTTTTAGGTTTCTCAATTTTTTGATCTTTCGTTTCCTCTATCTTTCCATTTCTCAACTTTTCTGTTTTAGATTTTTCGGTTTTTCAATTATTTTTAGATTTCTGGACTTCTCGATATCTCGATTTTTCCATTTTCTAGTTTTGCACTTCTTTGACTTTTCGATTGTTCAGGTTTTTGATTTTTCAATTATTCGATTTTTTATAATTTTGATTTTTCCACTTTCCGATTTGTCGATTTCACAATTTTTCGATTCTTCAATTTTTCTTCCATTTTAGAACTTTTCGATATTTTAGTTTTGGAATTTCTCAATATTTCAATTCTTTAATTTTACGATTTTTCGTTTTTTTCACTTTTTCGATTTTTCCAATTTTAGATTTTTCAATCTTTCAATTTTTGGATTATTATTAATGTTTCAATTTTTCCATTTATCATTTTTTCGATTTTTCAGTTATTCGATGTTTTCAATTTTTAAAATTTTTGATTTTTCGATTTTTCGATTTTCACTTTTTCGATATCCCTATTTTTCATTTTTTCAAATTCCTAAATTTTAAATCTGAGTTTTTTGATTTTTTAATTTTTCGATTTCTTGGTGATATTGTTTTCAATTTTCTGATTTTTCAAATTTTCTTCTGTTTTCAAATTTTTCGGTATTTCAGTTTTTGGATTTTTTTAAATTTTTCCACTTTTCCATTTTTTGCTTTTTCTCAACTTCTCGATGTTTCGATTTTTCTATTTTTTAGTTTTGCACTTCTTCAATTTTTCGATTGTTCAGGTTTTTGATTTTAAGATTATTCAATTTTTTATATTTATTTTCAATTTTTCTTCTATTATACAACTTTTCGACATTTCAGTTTTAGAATTTTTCAATATTTCAATTCTTCAATTGTTTGATTTTTCGATTTTCACTGTTTCGATTTTTCCATTTTCGGATCTTTAAATTTTAGATTTTTCAATCTTCCGAATTTTGGATTTTTAATGTTTGAATTTTTCCATTTATCAATTTTTTGATTCTTCAATTATTCGATATTTCCAATTTATAAAATTTTTGATTTTTCGATTTCTCGATTTTCAGTTCTTCGATATCCCTATTTTTCATTTTTTCAAATTCCTAAATTTTAGATCTCAGTTTTTTTATTTTTGAATTTTTCGATTTCTCGGTTATAGATTTTTTTTCCAATTTTCTGATTTTTCGAATTTTCTTCGGTTTTTCAATTTTTCGGTATTTTAGTTTTTGGGTTTTTTCAATTTTTCGATTTGTTGATATTTCAGTTTCGATTGTTCAGTTTGACATTCCTATTTTTCAGTTTTTCGAATTTTTTAATTTTGGGTTTTTCAGTTTTTTGATGTTTCGATTTCTGTTTTAGATTTTTCAGTTTTTTAATTGTTCTATTTTTCGACTTCTCGATTTCTCGATTTTTTCATTTTTCAGTTTTGCACTTCTTCAGTTTTTTATAATTCGGTTTCTCGATTTCACAATTTTTCGATTTTTCAATTTTTTTTCTATATTACAACTTTGCGATATTTCAGTTTTGGAATTTTTCAATATTTCGTTTGTTCAATTTTTCGATTTTTCAACTTCTCGACTTTCGATTTTTTCACTTTTTCGATTTCTCCATTTTTGGATCTTTAAATTTTAGATTTTCAATCTTTTTTGCTTTTTTGCTTTTTGGGTTTTCGATTTCTCGATTTTTTTTTCATTTTTCTGCTTCTTCAAATTTTTTCGGTTTTTCAATTGTTCGGAATTTCAGTTTTTGGGATTTTTTAATTTTTCGACTTTTCGATTTTTTGGTGTTTCGTTTATTCAGTTATTCGATTGTCTAATTTTAGAATTTTCTACATTTCAAAATTTTCGATTTATTGATATTTCAATTTCGATTTTTCTATTTGATATTTCTATTTTTCAATTTTTCGAATTTTTTAATTTTAGGTTTTTCAGTTTTTTGATGTTTCGATTTCTCGATCTTTCGATTTTTCAACTTTTCTGTTTTAGATTTTTCGGTTTTTCAATTTTTCGATTTCTCGATTTATTTCACAATTTTTCGATTCTTCAATTGTGCAACTTTTCGATATTTCAGTTTTGGAATTTTTCGATACTTCGAATCTTCAATTTTTCCATTTTTCCTCTTCTCGACTTTAGATTTTTCGTTTTTTTTTTAACTTTTTCAATTTTTCCATTTTTGAATCTTGAAATTTTAGATTTTTCAATTTTTCAATTTTTTGGATTTTTAATGTTTCAATTTTTCGATTTTTCAATTTTTCGAATCTTCAGTTGATTTTTCGTTTTCTCGATTTTCAGTTCTTCGATATCTCCATTTTTCATTTTTTCAAATTTTTAAGTTCTAGATTTCAGTTTTCTAATTTTTGAGTTTTTCGATTTCTCAGTTATAGATTTATTTCCAATTTTCTAATTCTCCAAATTTTATTCGGTTTTCAATTTTTTGATATTTCATTTTTTGGGATTTTTCAATTTTTCGACTTTTAGATTTTTTGTTTTTTCTATTTTTCAATTTTTCGAATTTTTTAATTTTCAGTTTTTTGATGTTTCGATTTCTGTTTTAGACTTTTCGATTTTCAATTATTCGATTTTTTATAATTCGATTTCTCGATTTCACAGTTTTTAGATTTTTCATTTTTTTTTTCTATATTACCATTCCATTTTTGGATCTTAAAATTTTAGAGTTTCAATCTTTTTTGCTTTTTTGCTTTTTGGGTTTTCGATTTCTCGATTTTTTTTTTCAACTTTCTGAGTCTTCAAATGTTTTCGGTTTTTCAATTTTTCGGCATTTCAGTTTTTGGGTTTTTCCAATTTTTCGACTTTTCGATTTTTTGGTATTTTCCTTTATTCAATTTTTCGATTGTCAAATTTTAGAATTTTTGAACTTTTCAATTTGTAGATATTTCATTTTCGATTTTTCATTTTGACATTTCTATTTTTCAATTTTTCGATTTTTCGATTTCTCGATTTATTTCACAATTTTTTAGTTTTGGAATTTTTCGATACTTCGAATCTTCAATTTTTCCATTTTTCCTCTTCTCGACTTTCGATTTTTCGTTTTTTTTTAACTTTTTCGATTTTTCCATTTTTGGATCTTTAAATTTTAGATTTTTCAGTCTTTCAATTTTTGGATTTTTGATGTTTCAATTTTTCGATTCTTCAGTTGCTTTTCGTTTTCTCTATTTTCAGTTTTTTGATTTTTGGGTTTTTCGGTTTCTCGGTTATATATATATATTTTTTCAATTTTCTGATTGCAATTTTTCAAAGAATATTGCCACCCGCCTCTTGATTCTAGGACTTTTCTTAATATTATTAGAAAATAGGCAAATTGTAAACAAAATATCTATAAAGTATTAAGCTGGTGTAATATTAGAGATGCTCCTCCCACTCGCACAAGCTCCGCCTTAATTAATCATTTCATTAGCGCGGAGAAGCGGGGCGGGGTTTGCAGTTGTACTTCACTGTGTCTATTTTATATGATTTTTATTTATTTTTATGTAATTGTTGGTGGCCAAGTCGTTTTTCGAATGAAAACCTATATTTGATTAAAAAAAAATAGTCCCAGATTCTGTTATATGTCAATATAAAATCCAACTCCCGTCTAAGAACCAATAAAAAGGGGTTCTCTAAAGGAAATATGGGTGGGTGGGTGGGGCTAGTTATGAAGAAAAGAAATGGGCGGAGCTAAATTTAGTTTCATTCTGCATAGTCTTTTAAGACAAGTAAGAAATAACCCCGCCCACCCACCCCCCTCCTCAATCGAATGACCACTCTTAATATTGCCCTCTTTATTATTTTATAAAATCTCAGGCGAATCTGTTAAACTGTTTCTATATTTTGATTTTTCAATATTTTAACTTTTTTAATTTTTCAGTTTTACAATTTAAAAATGTTTCTATTTTATTTTATTTTATTGATTTTCTAGTTCAGGGACCTAGGACGACATTATTTGATACAATTTAAAACCGATTTACTATGTACAGTGACGTCATCACATTACTGGTGGGGATGATTAGACCAATTTTGGTTAGTATTTTACCATCTACATGATATATCTAACATAAATACAAAATTTGACAACAATCGGGCCAGTACTTTCGGAGATTGTCTAATAAAAGTCCGGGACGGCAGACAGACGGACAACAGACGGACAGACAGACAGACAGACAGACAGACAGACAGACGGACAGACAGACAGACAGACAGACAGACGGAAACAGGAGACCTAGTTCTTCGTACTGTAGGGGTCATGAACGGCCTCGATTACAATACTTCCTTCTCTTACGCTCGGAAAGCAAAAAGCGGGGAAAATCGTTCCTCGTCCTTGGCTGTGTCAGGCACAGATTGAATCGGCCATCCAAGCCGCATTAGAACAATCGGAAAGCCTCGAAGCCGTTGACCCTCCCCTCGTAAAAAATAACCGGGGACCGGTGTCCTCCCTCAGGAGCCCAGCTCAGATTGCCTCCCTTCCTTCCGGCAGCCCCGTCTCCACGAAAATCAATTAAATCCATAAGTCGTGGGTTAAATTTAAGCCGTTACATTTTATTCTGTATATTATTTTAAGTATGAATGTTAACATATAAACAGGACACAGCATGTTCCCAAATTTCCAGATCGATATTTCAGTAACGATGCGATCTCGGTGCGGAGTGCGCGGTTTTTCTCTGGTGAAAATGCGTCCAGATGCGGTGCTTTAAAAGTGAGTACAGAGGCTGCGGACGCGCACTCAATAATGAATTTCCTTGTAGGGATCTTAATTATGGGACGGAATCCTCTTTGAGGATTGGGGGCGCTGTAGAACAGGGGTCGTAAAAACTAACAACAAGTCCTCGGTGGGCGCGATTAATGAATTAAAAATGCGCCGATTCGGGGAATGGTTCCTCCGGGAAGCCGCTTCTTGTGCAATTCCTCCCGGTGATTCACAGTTTTTTATTTTTAAGAGCGTGACGCGGAGTGAAACCTCTTTGTATGTTTACGCTCTTGTCCCATATCTCGCGATCTTCGTATTAAGGTTCGGCAATAAAACTTATTTTTGGAATGTTTTCATTGCATATGAAATTATAGTAAAAGCGGGGTAATAAATCAGAGACGAACCAGGATTTATGCGCGCTTCTATCGTCTGGAGTAGTGCATGATTGGGTGATTAAGTGGATTTTTTTTGCAGAGAGTCCTGGCGAAGATGAGGAAGAAGCGGGGTCCGGACTGGCCAAGTCCGGGCCGACGGAAACCTGCATAGAGATGGTCCGGACCGACGGCCTCGCCACGAATCTCCTGGAGAAGCCCATGATCGATAAGAAGGTTAAGGTTAGTACGGTGGAGGAGTCCTTATCCGAAAATATTAGCTCCTCGGTATCCGTTGTCCTTTCACGATCGTAAAACAATCAGTTAGCGGCGGCTAAATCTCCGGATAATTCTAATGGATTTACCTCATCTGGTGAAATATCGGCGCGGAGAGAGTTTTCAGTGCGGTTTTTATCCAATACGAGATAAGACTTTTAATAAAATAGGGAGGTGCGAAACGCCGCATTGTGAACACGGGATAAAAATAGAACACCGATTCGTGATTGTACTCAGAAATGTTTATTATACTTGAGCTATTATTTAGATGTGTAAATACACTATTCGAGGATTGATTAAGTCCAAACTCTAAAGTCTCAGAGAGACGCCTTCACTTCAACACTCTCGCTTCAAAAACCAACACTGATTTGATTAATTACCGCGCTTTGGCTTCCAACCCATAATTAACCCTAATTCGCACTATTGAACTCTGCCGGTGCGTCGCGAACTCCTGCTTTACTAATTTATACACCCATATGGTAATTATAAAACGCGATCCACCCATCTCTCTCATCGCCTTTGTTCTTCCCAAAAGCATTTCGCACATTTCGAGCTTTTAATATAATGTAATTTAAATAACATTGATTTATTTATTAAATAACATACTCCTCTACTTGTAGTTTATGAATCCGTGTTGAGTTTTTACATTAAGTATCCAATTTTTGTAAAAAAAATCGAAAGAACTTCGCAATTGCAAAACGATTATTATAATTTATTCGTTTACGATCTCCTAAAAACTGATGACGTCATCTCAAAATGTTGCCAAATAAATCCTATCTAAAATGAATCGCTTAAACAGGGTGGCTCAAAAAAATAATGAATGAGTCAATTTATTTTATTGATTAAATCAAGAAGCATTAAAAAATTTTAAAAACACAAAAGCAAAAAATCGAGAAATTAAAATACCGAAAAATTGAAGAATCGGAAAGTTGAAAAGTCGAAAGATCTAAAACCGAGAAATCGAAAATTCAAAAGACTGAAATCTAAAATTTAAAAACAGAAATATCGAAGAACTGAAACATCAAAAAGTCGAAAAATTCAAACATCCGAAAATCGAAAAAGTAAAAAATCGAGAAACCGAAATATTGAAAAGTGGAAGAAAAATTGAAAAAACCAAATATTGAAAAATTTCAAAACTGAAATATCGAAAAATCCAAGGAAAACTGAAAAATCCCAAAACTGAAACATCGAGAAATTAAGTAGTCGAGAAACTGAAAGTCGATAAATCAAGAAATCGATTATTCGAAAAATTTTGAAATTGATTAATCGAAAAATTTAGAAATCGAAAAATCGGAAATTTAGAATCGTCAAATGCTGAAAACTGAAATATCTAAAAATTAAAAAATCGAAAAGTCGAGGAATTGAACAATTGAAAAAACGAAAATAAAAAATCGAGTAATCGAAAATTTGAATGGAAATACTGAAAAATGTCAAAACTGAAAAAAAAATCCAAAAATTGAAGAAATGAAAACTAAAATTGAAAGTCAAAAACCAAGTAATCAATTAATCAACAAATTTTGAAATCGAAAAATCGGAGGATCCAGAAATCGAAACATCAAAAAACTAAAAAACCTGAAATTAAAATATTCGAAAAAATGAAAAATAGACACGTCGAACTGAAAAACTGAGAAATCGAAAAATTTTTAATTTTAAATATTGAAAAATTGAAATATGTATCGAAAAATTATAGAATCTAAAAACTGAAAAACAGAGAATTTGAAATTTCCAAAAATCGAAAAATTGAGCAATCGAAAAACCGAAACTTCGAAATCTCGATTAAAAAAGGAAAATCTGAACTTTTAAAAATCGAAAAATTCAAAAAACCAAAAATTGAAAAATCGAAAAAGTAAAAAATCTAGAAATTGAAGAATTGGAAACTGAAAAATCGAAAAATCGAGAAATTGAGAAGTCGAGAATTTGAAAGTCGAAAAACCAAGAAAGCGATTAATTTAAAATGTTAAAAATCGGAAAATTAAAATATCGAAAAATTGAAGAAACGAGAAATCGAAAAATAAAAAAAATAAAAATTTGAAAAATCGAAAAATTGACGAATGGAAAACTTAGAAATCGAAACATCGGAAATTCAAACGCTGAAAACTGAAATATCTAAGAATTAAAAAAATCGAAAAGTGGAGAAATTGAACAATTAAAAAACGAAAATAAAAATTCGAGAAATCGAAAAACTGAATGGAAACATTGAAAAATGTCAAAACTGAAAAAAATCCAAAAATTGAAGAAATGAAAACTGAAAAATGAAACTCGAAAAACCAAGAAATCGAAACATCAAAAAATTGAAAATTCTAAAATTGAAAAATTGAAAAACCCAAAAATTGAAAAATTGAAAGAGTTAAAAATCAAGAAATCAAAAATTGAATAGTCGAAAAATTGAGTCTAAATTTTAAAAAATTTGAAAATTGAAATATTGAAAAATCGAAAAATGACGAAAAATCGAAGAATCGAAAAATTGGCAAATCCCAAAACTGAAAGATCGGGAAATTGGGAAATCGAAAAGGGAAAAATCGAAGACCAAAGATGGAAAAATTAAAAACTCGAACAATGGAAAACTAAGAAATCTAAAAATCGGGTAATTGAGAAGTCGAGAAATTGAAAAATTGAATGGAAACATTGAAAAATGTCAAAACTGAAAAAAATCCAAAAATTGAAGAAATGAAAAGTGAAATTGAAAGTCGAAAAACCAAGTAATCAATTCATCAAAAAATTTTGAAATCGAAAAATCGGAAGATTCAGAAATCGAAACATAAAACTAAAAAACCTAAAATTAAAATATTCGAAAAAATGAAAAATAGACACGTCGTACTGAAAAACCGAGAAATCGAAAAATTTTTAATTTTAAATATTGAAAAATTGAAATATGTATCGAAAAATTGAGCAATCGAAAAATCGAAACCTTGAAATCTAGATAAAAAAAGGAAAATCTGAAATTTTAAAAATCCAAAAATTGAAAGAACGAAAAATCGGTATATCAAAAAATCGAAATGTTGAAAAAAATCTAAAATTTAAAAAATCGAGAAATTGAAAAATTAATCGAAATATTGAAAAATCTTAAAACTAAATATCGAAAAATCGAAGAAAAATTCAAAAATGCCAGAATTGAAACATCGAGAAATTGAGATATCGAAAAATTGAAAATTAAGAAATCGGAAAATGAAAATTCGAACACGAAAAACCGAAAAATTAAAAAATGGAAAAATTGAAGAATTAGAAACTGAAAAATCGAAAAATCGAGAAATTGAGAAGTCGAGAAACCAAGAAATCGATTAATTTAAAATTTTAAAAATCGGAAAATTAAAATATCGAAAAATTGAAGAAACGAGAAATCGTAAAATCAAAAATTTTAAAATTGAAAAATTTTAAAACCCAAAAATTGAAAAATCGAAAAAGTTACGAAAATCGAAAAATGTAAATTTAAAAAAATCTCAAAACTGAAATATTAAAAAATCGAAAAATGAGAAATTGAAGAATCGAAAAATTGAAAAATCTGAAGACTGAAACATCGGGAAATTTGAAATTCTAAAATTTGAAAAATTAAGAAATCGAAAAATTAAAAAATTAAAAATTTGAAAAGTTGAAAAATTGACGAATGAAAAACTTAGAAATCGAAAAATCGGAAATTTAGAATTGTCAAACGCTGAAAACTGAAATATCTAAGAATTAAAAAAATCCAAAAATCGAGAAGTTGAACAATTGAAAAGACGGAAATAAAAATTCGAAAAATTGAATGGAAATATTGCAAAATGTCAAAACTGAAAAAAAATCCAAAAATTGAAGAAATAAAAACTGAAAAATGAAAGTCGAAAAACCAAGAAATCGAAACATCAGAAAATTGAAAATTCTAAAATTTAAAAATCCAAAAATTGAAAAAACCAAAAATTGAAAAATCGAAAAAGTTATCCAGAAATCGAAAAATTGAAAAGTCGAAAAATTGAATCTAAATTTTAAAAAATTAAAAACTGAAACATTGAAAAATCGAATAATGAGGAAAAATTAATGAATTTAAAAATCCCAAAACTGAAACATCGGGAAATTAAGAAATCGGAAAATGAAAAATCCAACACGAAAAACCGAAAAATTGAAAAATCGAAAAAATGAAATATTGAAAACTGAAAAATCCAGAAATTGAGAAGTCGAGAAATTGAAAGTCGAAAAACCAAGAAATCGGTTAATCGAAAAATTTTGGAATCCAAAAATTGGAAATTTAGAAACGTCAAAAATTGAAAAATCGAAAAAATTAAAATCTAGAAATCGAAAAATCCCAGAAACTGAAACATCGGGAAATTGGGAAATCGAAAAAATGAAAAATTAAGAAATCGAAAAATGAAAAATGGAAACCAAAAATCGAAAAATTGAAAAATCCAAAAATTAAAAAATCGAAAAATTGAAGAATGGAAAATTGAGAAATCGAAAAATCGAGAAATTGAAAGTCGAAAAACCAAGTAATCAATTATTCAAAAAATCTTGAACTCGAAAAATCGAAAGATCCAGAAACCGAAACATCAAAAAATTAAAAAACCTAAAATTAAAAAACTCGAAAAATTGAAAAATAGAAACGTCGAACTGAAAATCGAGAAATCAAAAAATTTTTAATTTTAAATATTAAAAAAATCGAACATGTACCTATGGAAAAATTAAAAAATTTAAAATCTGAAATACAGAGAATTTGAAAAAAATTGAACAATCGAAAAGTCGAAACTTTGAAATCTCAATAAAAAAAGAAAATTCTAAAATTTTAAAAATCAAAAAATTGAAAAACCGAAAAGATAAAAAATCGAGAAGTCGAAAAATTGAAAGGTCGAAAAAATGAATCGAAATATTGAAAAATCTTAAAAATACCGATAAATCGAAAAATGAGGAAAAACTGAATAATCGAAAAATTAAAAAATCCCAAAACTGAAACATCGGGAAATTGAAAAATTGAAAGTCGAGAAACTAAGTAATAAATCAAAAAA